CAGCAGGAGGGACTGGAGTTAGAGGCAAATGGGCAGAGGGGAAACAAAGCAGAGACAACTTGTATATGCCAGGGTTAAAAATCTTCTGCTCAAAACGGTTTGAAAAGATTTACTTCATGACTTTGGAGACTGTATACTCAAAAATTATTCTTGCTGAATTGGCACTCTGAAAGAGTGGTTTCTTTACAACAACAGCAACAAAACCTGTAGGCTCTCAGGCCAAGAACTTCCTTCCAAAGGTGTGCAAAAAGGTACGTTTTCCTCAGTGCTGATTAAAAAAAGTTTTCCCTGGGCATTAAGCCGTGAGGGGAAACCCAGGGCAATTGCAGAATTAGCAGTAGGCAGCGCAAAGGCAGTAGTGTGGTTCTCAGCTTGCTTTCGCAAATAGCTGTGCCTTTCATAAATTGTGTGTATTTTTCTTTAACGTCTGTACGTTTCAGATCGAATGCAAATGTTGCGTGATGTGCAGCCGTTCGTGGATTATCGACTCATACTGCGTATGTGTTAACCTCTGACTGTCAAGAAAAAAGGCTTTTGCCATTCATTGGGTGCTGCCGTATGTGGCCAGGAAAAAAAAAATTGCTTCTCAGCTCAGAATCTCTTCTGTATGCCTGAGGTGCTGTCATCTGTGGCTTACTGAATACGTAACTGGAATTGACATTATCAGTTACTCTGTGAAACCTGCGGAAAGAACTTGGAAAATGAAGCCTGGTAGCTCTGGGGGGGGGGAAAAATGAAAAGGGCTTTGAAAACAAAAGGTTCTTTGTTTAGTAACTGTTCAACTTTGTATGGTATCTGGAGAGCTTAGTACGGAGCAAAGGAAACACGGGGGATGTTGGGACTGTGCAGTGGGATAACTGGAGAGAGATGAGGTACAGGGCTTGAGGATGCAGACAGGTGGGTCCTGGTGGCTGCAGACCAGTTTGCCAGGCTGGGCTGGGGGGGATTCTCCGCCACACAGCCCTTGCTGCTGCTTGCCTGCTCCAGCCTTCCATTCTAGCTTGCCTTTTATCTGCTGCATTTTCAGGAATCTGTTTTGGGCTCATATTTAAAAGATGGACTCCTTAAAAAACCAAAAAACCAAACAAAAAAACCCCAAACCAAACAACTTTTTGTTGCCTTTTGTTAAGTTGATTGAATTTTGGACTAATATTCTTACCTACAAGCGAGGCAGGCACCTTTTTGTGTGGTTGGGTTGGGGTTTTGTGTGTGGGTTTTGTGGGTTTTTTGTTTTTTCTTTTTTTTTTTTTTT